CTCGCCACATGTGCTGAAAAGTCAGTCCGCAACAATACCGTGCAAGAACAACCCCATAAAGCCAAGCAACCGAAAGCTACTCAAATCACACGCAAATCGTTCCTGAACCAAAGCTCCAGGCGCAAGCAGTTCCAAAAACAAAACCCTCACTGCAAGAAACGTCCGAAAACCCACACGAAGCCCTGCACACCCAAACCGAAGACGCGTCAACTAGAGGAACCTTGAGGAAGAGCAACAGACTCAAGCTTTTTGGGCACTACACTCTCAAAAAGCAAGAGATACCCACCGTCTGTGTCCATGCGCAGCCTCCTTTAGCCACTTGTCCAACAAGTGGTCCGGGAAGGAATTGACTTTAAGCAGACTTATGAACCTTTGCAATGCCCATGGCCGTGCAGATTGAGGCACGGTAAACTGCTCTACTCTAGCAATCGCACCCTGTAGAAGCGCCCTCTTGACTGCAACAGGCAGCCAACTCTCATAGTTCATGTATGGCAACTGGACCTCTTGACGATCGTAGGCCGACAGCACAAGCCATGACGGGAACAGCGACACTGTGCCCTCCGCACCCAGAGAGAATTCCAACCCAATGAATACACTGCCCTCATCCTCCTCTATCGGCAAAGGATAGCGGCTTCTGACAGCATGACGAAGGACCCCTGATATCATGTCTAACTGTGAACGTGTAGCGCCTCTGTCCGTCTTCCAGAAGCAAATGTAATCATCCATGAACCGGAGCTCAAGAAGCATGACATCCATGGACTGAATGGTCACCGAGCGCAGTCTGCCTCTTAAAGACGGCTGTGGACAGAGCCCTGGGTAGACAGCAGCGTGGAAAGCAACATCACAGTAGATGAGGGTCATCCGTGCCAGAGCATTTGCCAAAGAACTTCCCATCGGGAGACCTTCAACCTCCAAACCCACTAAGTCTCCAAACCCAAACCAACCATTTCGCAAGTGGTGGTGGATGATGGTGTCCATGTCAGCCAGCGTCAAACTGACCATTCCCGGCCTCCAGCCTGGGGCATGGACGTGAGGCACGGTGGGTCCACCATGACGCTTGTATCTGGCTGTGAATCCGCCGATTTTGCCTGCCAACGAGGCTCTGTAGAAGCACCACGCTGCCCGAATGAGCACATGCGGCAAATTGGAGAAACACGACACTAGATCTGCACCAAGCTTGTAGACCTGTGACGCAGGACCTGAGGAGTTGAAAGCCTCCACCAAGGGAACTGCTGCGTCCGCACGTTGTAGGTCGAGGTGTGTGTGAGTCGGCAAGTGGTTGGCACTCGCCCAGTCCAATGCCCGAGCCGCAGCAGCATCCAGACGGGACGTTGGCCAACACGACCTGTCAACCACAGGTCGTCTGTCATCAGGCTTGGTCCTCTTCTTGTTGGGAGCTGAGACGCTCGCCATGCGCCAACAGCGTGGAGGGAAAAGCTTCGCAGGTTGCAGAGATTCATCAAGTCCTGGGATGACACTCACCGTTTGCAAGACTGCCTCCGACGTCAGACTTGGAAAGTACTTGAAGCGCGATGATGAGCCGTTGAGTTCGAACAATCTGCGGGTGAGTAAGTGAACACGCCGGGGGCACTCTGCAACCAGCACATGTTTACTTTTCTGGAACTCCTCAATGCAAAGCCCCTTGAGCTGCAACTTCATCGCATCAACATCCTCCTCTCGGAAGGTTGCATTGGCATAGAGCTCGTCAGGAGGGCACAAAGAAGTCACCAGCTGCATCGCAAGCTTGTCGCACACACATGATTCGAGTCGAACGCCAACTCGTTCCACAAGCCTGCGCACCACTTCACCACAGGCTTTTTGAACCGTCTGCAATGATGGGCGCAATGATGTGTGAGCAGGTGCACGGCGATACTGCTCCAATGCTGAGGGCCATGGCCAAGTATCCTGCGGTGCATACACATGAGCTTCCCCATCTGGCGACGGGTAGCGTGGGAGACTTGGGAAATCACCGCATCTACATGGCCACAGCTCCGGTTTGCCCAAATGCTTGTAGAAGCCTGAAGCTGACCTGAGCTTGGACCTGATCGTTGCAGACGGCCTTGTATTGAGTTGCACCCGCACGTTCCTGATGAAAGGGAGCATCACGACATGGCCTGCAAACTTCGACTCCTCTGCCAAAGCCTGCAATAAATGTCGGAAGGCTGTTTGTTGGAGTTTGTCACCAGTCCAGGGGATGGTGGCTTGAACAGTCGAAACCGGTCTGGGCCACCTTCGAAACAGCCTCACCTTGTGAAGGAATGCCAAGCCAAGCTGACGATGAGAACCTTCCACGCGCTTGTACACATACCTCCACACAGAGAGCCACTCAGCGGGAGTGAGGCTGAAGAGTTGAGAACGGCATGACCGACAGTCTCCAGTGGATAAAGTGTTGCATGCACCGGCCGCCCACCATGCCACACAATCCGGTGGTGTGGGTGTCAAAAACAGTGCTTGATTTGCCGCTGCATATCTGGGGTGTGTGTCCTGCGAGTGTCTGCGAAGCTGTGCGAAGCGGGCAGGGGGGGCAGGGGGCCGCAATTTGATGTGGATAAGTTTCTGCTGTAGCAGTGTTCCCCGAAACTTGTCCGGGCATTGAGCTGCACTCAGCTTGCGCAAGATATACGGCTCGTTTAGTGGTGGGTGCTCTTGGCTTATGACGTGGGCCTCCAGCCGCACGCAATGAGCCATCGAGCTGCACATGGAGATGGGCAAGAAACACAGGTCTGCTGCTGCTTTGGGCATGTTGCCGCACTGACGACCAGAAAGAAATCGCATGTAGGGTTGTTGCTCATATCGTTCAGGCCGTAGAAAGCTCATAATGTGCAGGCGCAATCTGTCCTGAAAGTTGGTGGCTCTGCCGATGTAGAACCAAGAGTGGTGAGGAGACCAAATCATGTATACGACATGCTTGGCATCCAACAAGTGCTGCTGCGGGGGCCAACTGCTCCCCGGCAAGGTGGCTGCCAGCGCTCTGAGCTTGGCATGGCCTTTGTGAACGGAGGCTAGCAAAAAGTGACCTGCTAATTCAATGCAAGTGCGGTGAATCTGGAAAATAGACCGCCACGGAAGGGGGTCAGGCATGCCATACAAGCATTGCTTGACATCGCGAAGAAGTTGCAAACAAGTGGTGAGATCGGCTCGGTAGTGTGGTGGCCTGGACAGACATGGCATGCAATCTCCATGCAGATCCCAGAAATCACCTGACGAGCTGCTGCGAGATTGGCGGAGTCAATGCTCCTGGCAGTCGCAGCGGGCTTTTACGGCCGCCACGATGGCACAGATGTCCTGAGTTTTTGTGTCATCGAACTTGGTGCCCATGGCACTGCACAAGCGCTTGAACTCTTCAAGCACGGGAATGTCCGTATGCGGTTGCTTGGTTTGTCTGCGTTTGGCGCTGGCTTTGGGCTTAGGCTGCTGTGTGAGCTCGCTGAGAGCCGCCTGGTATTTGACAAAGCGGGACTTCAATGTTGCAGGTGCTTCTTGAGGTATGGCCGTTTCCTCCACAGCCCACTCCACACTGCGTAATGTTTTTGCTGTGTGAAGCCGTTGAGGGTGAAATGCTTTGAGGTCGGAAAGGGTGAGTGTTATGGCCGCTGTTGCTGCTTCATCTGCCGTGTGGTTTGCGCCTGCAAGCATACGAATAGCATCAGTGCCCAAAGGTTCACATTCACCAGCCGCATCCTTTGCTTCCAAGTCCGCCTGTCCCCCGTCTGCTATCGATGCGGCTACTTTGCGAACCATTGCTGAAAGTGCTTCGCGTCCTTTCATGTGGTAGGGACTGTTGCGCTCAAGCCATGTGAGAAACACTGAGAAGTTGAAGGTATCGGCCTCGAGAGGGATCAGCGGGATGATCTTCTGCAGATTTCGCCGGGCTTGGGCACGCATGATGTAGGGGCAAAAATCTGCAGAACCTTCCGCGAATGATTTGCGAGTGCTTGCTGTACACAATGCCTTGCACCTCCTCATCATCTCTGCGTTGCATGCTTTGCGGTCTTCGATGAAGGTGGGGCCATCGTTTGGAGTATCGGGCTTCAGATGTGGGGGGCAGTTGTAGGCCATGTCACGAATCTTCTGCCCCGCTGCATGATTTCCAAATACTAGCTCCTGCAATTCCGCATGCGATAAGCTTGCAATGGCACTTTGAAGACCCTGACCGTGGATGGAAGACTGGCTGTGCACTGCATGCTGAGCCATGCCTGGTCGGGCCAGTGAGGGTTGTTGCTGATCAGGATATGGCGGCTGCTGCTGCTGCTGCTGCTGCTGTTGTGACGGTTGTGACAGTAGCGGTGGGGTATTTGTCAACATGCTGACAAGTGGAGCGAGTTGCGTAAGCAGGTTGTGCATGTCCGGCGGTGGCGGCGGTGGGACTGGTGGAAATGTGTGCGCATGGGTTGGCTGTGGCATCTGGATGGGCAATGCGGGTGGTTCAAAAGGTGGCTGCGGACGGCGGTGAGCTGCTTTTGGTGTTGTTGTTCGTGCAAGAATGTCCTCAGGGGATCTTCCCGTGAAAAGTTCGCGTCTTCCACGGGGTGGGGGCGGGGTCACATTGGGGCACTGTGCCAAAATGTGTCCACGTCGGCCACACCCTGGACATAGCATTGGCGATCTGCTGCGTTTGCGTCTTGTTGGACTGCATCTGCGAGGGCTGTCTCTTCCCATGCTTGGATGTCGAATCTACACTAGGAATTAAAAGAGTACCAAACACTGCCCAGCACAACCAAAACCAGAAATGCAAACCAAGGAGCATTCATAAGATCAGCATTCAATCCGATGCAACCATTCAGAAACTTCATGATGCAAACACTTCTCCCCTTCTACAAGGCTTGACAGGCACAAGGCGACCGGCAGGGGACCATGTCCCGATCACGGTCCAATGGGTGCAAAGTCACTCGCATCAAGGATGGTTGATTTCCTCAGTTGGTTTGAATGTTCGCCCACCCCGTACTGCACGCTGGGACTTTCATGCGCACAGCCCGCCTCCCCCTCGCATCGCACGTACTATGCTGAGGGTTCGTGGGGATTTGCTGAATGAGTTGGCATTGCGCCGATGGCATCTGAATTTTGGATTTCCACTTCCGTGGGATGACAAGCTGAAGGCTTTGCGCCACTGATTCTGGAAAGCATACGCGGAAAGAACGCCTGCAACACAGGCACTCGGCCCTCGGTGCCCCTGATTCAAACCCTGAACTGTAACAAGATGGACCCGAAGTAGCGGTAGCCCAAGTCGTAGCGGACTCGAACCGGTGTCTCGACTCCATGACTTCGGCCGAAGTTGTGGGAAATCTAGTTGGTCTTAGGTTACTTCACAACGCGATCGATGGATGCAGCTTTCCGGAAACGTAACGCATCCGGAAGGTGTCAACTACGGAAACAACAACCACCAGTCATCTGCACATCATTGAAAAACAACCTAAGTCCCCAAAGACACCCAAACGCACCTACAGGCACAGCTACTACAGACCCAGATCTGCGTAAAAGGCATCAGCTTCCCAAAGGCGGTGCGCCACTCGGAGCAGCGATCTTTTCTCTAGTTATTGTTGCAGAAGACGACAAGCTATGACGCAAGCATAACACTTGCAGGAGTAAGATCCAATGCTATATCCGACGGAATCATTCCTAAGCAAAGTACCTGATGCCCAGCCCAGGAAGCCCGAACTCGAAACCCTAAACCCTGGGTGCCAGATGATGTCTCACCTGTCGCGTCTGGAGTTGCTGTGATCATCGCAGTTAGGTTAGGGTTTGGGGGTTTACGGGTTTAGGGGTTTAGGGTTTATGGGTTTAGGGCTTAGGTCGAAAGCCCTAACCCTAAAGCCCTAAACCCTAAGCCCTATTCGTCTGGAGGTCGGTTCAGCTGCCAATGCATCCGGCTCCTGCCCAGCGACGGTCTCCTCCCAGGCCCTCGTTGGGGGGCCTTAACGATCACAAAGTGGGCCCTTTGTTCCGTTTAAAGGGCTCTTGGCCCGAATCTGTTATGAGGATGTCTAGCAACGGGCTCAGGGTTTCAGGGTAGGGGGTGTTTAGGCGTAGGGTTTCGGGAGTTGGCCAGGACTTTAACATCGAGCCTAGTACTTTTAGGGCTTTCTGGTCAGGGTTTCGTTACGATCACGAAACCGAAAGAAGGTACCCTAGTTTTCTGAAACTCCCATAAACCCAGAATCGAATTCCGATTGCCGGCAGGCCAGCGCGTGCTGCACATTCACCACCACCGCAGCAGGTACGAGCCTTGCGTTTCGGGCTTGAGCTTGTTTTTGCATTGCTCAAAGTTGAGGAGTTCAAGTTGCATGAGGAAGGGGTCTGAATCATTGCCGATACTGTTGCAATGCAGTCCTCAGGGTTCATCAGCAGCTTATCCACCCACAAACCACTACTCTACTGACAGCCTTTCGGTCACAGCCTCGTGCCATCCCTTGGCCCTGGGCTTTGCCTGGAGCCCAAAAGGAAGTAGTATCATGGCCGTTCGTGGGTCTTGGGCTGTGATTTGTGAGTACTATTTGGAGTTTAGGTGCACCCCAAGGCCCTAAGCCGAATCCTTATAGTCTACTACTGATGGCAGGGCGGCCAGAATGAAGCTGTTCAGTATGCTCCGTAAGGACCCGTGTACATAACCAGTATATACACTGGCCCAAAGTACCTTTGTAGGGACTCCTTCAAGGTCGGAGTATATACTATTTGGGTACATGGACCCTTAGGGTCTGTGAGCTTGCAGGCTTTGGTGCCAGGTGGGGTGGACGGAGGATCAGTGGGTCTCACAGAGCTTGAAGGATTGTTTTATGGGATCTTCAGAAGACTTCCGTCACGAGGGTTCAGGGCTTCAAGGCTCTCAATTTTGGGGTACTAGGGGTTCAGGGCTTCAGGGCTTCAGGCTTTCGCATTTAGGGTTCTAGGAGTGTGCGTTGATCATGGCCTTCCTATGGTGGTTCCCGGCTTCAAGGGTCTTAGGCTCTTAGGGCTTAGGGTCTGCGCTGTAGTGGTTAAGGCGGGGTTGAAGGTTCAGGATTTCTGGCTGTGAGAAGCCTACTTCTCACCCTAATTTAGGGCTGTAAGCAGGGGGCACAACCACCCCGTCTGCGCCAAAGCACTGGCCCCAAACTCAAAAGTATTGACCAGATCCAAGCGACACCGAAACACAGGCACCCCAAAAGGCAACACTGGAACCTGCCAACTCTGTACAGTAGAAGCCAGAAAGTTGGAATATCATTATCGTAACCCCTTTAAGGTAAATTATAGGGGATCCTACCATTAATCCATATTCCAACTTTCTGGAGTTCCCTGCATGTAAGTTGCTCTAGCGTTTCTTGGCCTCTCTTGATGGGCAGGTCCACTTCGTCCAGGCTCATGGGGTTTGTTTGCGGGATCATCAGGGTTTGTGGGCCCGCCAGCCACCATAAGAATTAGAGCACGGATCCTTTTCGTAGCACTTTGCACCTAAACCCTAAACCCCTGAACCCCTAGCCCCTAAGAAAAAAAAGCAAAAAGTAGAGGGGTGTCACCATCAGGGTTTATAGTTCTTGTAGCTGGCTGGGGAGCTCGGAGTCAGGCGCAGCAGGTGGCGGGGCTTGTGGTTTTAGGGTAAAGCGCGACGAGATTTCGGTTATACAGTTATACAATTGGGGTAGTGGGGTAGGGTTTGGGTTTAGACTTTCGGGCAATTAGGGCAATTAGCGGGGTCTTCGGGTTTCGGCCTCAAGGGTTTGGGCCTTACCTGGGTGGACGGTGGGAATGTATCTACCTATAGTCTCCATTGTAGTTCCTTTTTTTTGGTTAACCAAAATCTCCTACTATAGGTTCCTAACCATAAAACTGGTTAACCAAAAAAAGGAACTACAATGGAGACTCTAGGTAGTTCACCAACGTACTATGAGCTGCAATCCCTATTGTACATCTCAACTCCCAAGTCCCACAGCGACGCAACGTCCCATCCCCAGAGGCTGTGGATTCTCAAGCCTACACAGCGCCGTACATCCTACATCCCCGTCCCTGAAATCTCGTCTGAAGCCTCGACTTGCGATTCTCTGCCCAAGATGCTTCCGCGCAAGCAATTGCAAGCATGTAAGCGCTGTATGTTTACTTGCAGAATCAGCGGCCTTCGTAAGTAAAGCTGGTTCGGTTACTGTCTATCCTATTTTCGGCCTCAACTGCTTTATGCAGCAACATAGCACGAAGCCTTCGACGGGGAGCCTTTTGCTAGCACGTTTTCTCACCGGAAGCGGGCCGCAGCGTGCCATAGAGCAGTTTTTGAAACGACCAGGTAACAACACGTTCCTTTTCCTGGCTGGGCACGGCAACAAGAAAGGTGACCTTGTTCTGGATGAAGGAGTGCATTTGACGGCGAAACAAGTTTTCATGTGGCTGAATGAGGCCAACTTCCACGGACATATCACGATTATGGTTGATGCATGCTACGCAGGACAATGGGCCAAAGCGTTTCAGTCTCTTTGCAATGAGAAGAGCCCTTAGGCAGCACTCTGACGAAGTGCACGAGGGGCAAAAGGTTTATCAATTTTCGCCTGTCGTCCTTGGCAAGTGATTGCTCGCGAGACTCTGCAGAGGGTGGAATGTACACTCTGGCAATCCTCAACTCTCTTCGGCGGGAACATTCCTGGACGCAGCAGGGCGGTGACGGGTGGGGCACGAAAGTTCTCGTGCGACGTCAGCCGGATAAGAACACAGTGGTTTGGGGCATTTGTACATCAGAGCCTCAAACAGATATTGCTGCAGATTTCGTTTGCCACAACGGGACTGTGACGCTTTATTGTCCTCCAGATCGTAGACGGTACATCGAGTGAGCAGAACTGAGGTTGTGTGACCGGGTCCTTTCGACTTCAGGCAGAACATGGAACTTGCGTAATGGTTTAGCAGGATGAACTTGTCATTCTTTATCGGTGCATGTCGTGTAGTGTACAGTAGTAGCACTGCATCGCGCCCCGTGTCGACGTTCGCTTGTGTCCTGCGGTGTTCAGGACATGAAAATAGGAATCCAACACCGTGAGGTCACGGTTGCTCGTTTCTGTGGGGTTTCCAGGTTCGGTGCTTGAGCGGGGCATATCATCATCTAGTCATTCGTGCTACTGGTAACCTGGTAGTGCCTGTTGAACAGCTGTCAATGTTGGAGATGTTACCAATGTTGGCAGACTACTGAGATTCTACTGGAGGTACGCCCGGATGGGGGTAAGCAGGCAGACACGGGATCGATGCTGGGGCGGCTGTGGAATTTGCAGAGGTGTTGACAGAGAGAATCGTTAAGGCGAGGTCTGTCCGGGATCGAAGGCGATCTCTGCTTTTTGCGCGCGGCGGAGTTTGACTAGCCAGGCTTTGTGTCCTGCTGAACCCAAGCAGCTCAAACGCATAGCCCATCGGGGTCACTTCTTTATATCCCGATGTTTTCTACATCCGCCGATCATTCAAGCAGACTTTCAATTTCGGGCCTCCCGCAACCTAATATAGCAGTCTAAATAATTACCGATACTATTATTGTGGTTCCTTATTTTGCGATGATTCTCGTTTATACCCCACAACCCTCTTCAAACTATTAAGGACCCCCCCACATTATTCCTGCTTCCTGCATCCTAATAACCCAAAACCCCCCTCTACTGATTAAAGACCCCCCCACATTAGTCGTGCTTCCCACATCCTAATAACCCAAAGCCCCCCTCTAATTGTTAAGACCCTCCCCCCCACATTATTAGTGCTTCTAGTTATTAGGCCCCCCCCTCACATTAGTCGTGCTTCCCGCATCCTACTGCCCCGAGTCCAGGCGAATTCCATGTCCGCTCCTCCGGGACAGGTGTTGGTCCCGAAGGCTCGAGTGAGGTGTCTAGTGTTCCTTTAAAAGGAAACTGTAGGATTTTGGGCTTAGGGCTCCTTTAAAGGGGTCTATAAGGGTTGCGAGAAGGGATACTATAAGCGCTCTATGATGTAGGAGCCTTAAAACTTATCTAGACTATTGTGGGGGTTGCTTACTATACATATCGTATAGTGGGCCCCAAAACCCTAGTCTAATTATGAAGACCCCTACACTATTTGCCACCAGGGCTGCATGGGAGTTATATGGAGGACTCGAGGGCGGACGTATTAAACTACACATCACAGTGGGCCCGAGTTCTGATGGAGCAAAGCACAGCGCAAGAAACATCATTATTGCACTAAAGCCCTGCCACACATCGAAAGTCCCCGGCGCAACTCCCTGCTGCCGTAGCTCGAGGTCGTCAGCAAGGAAACAGTTTTCCACGAAGACTTCATCTGCATGGTTCTTCTCCGTTGCAGTGCCTGGAAAACCGGCTACTGCACATGTTCTGAACGAATTACTCTTCAACTGAACACTCACTGCAACTACTTATACTCTTTCCATGGGCTACGTGTTGGTTCGAGACATAGAGAGCCCGATGCACCTTGTTATGAATTCCTCCTATCATCCGAAGCATCCCTATATCGGTTGATTGGTGTGTATCCTATCAAGTCCTTGCATGGAGCCGCATACAGCCCTTCGGACAAAGCAAAGGCCTTTACTATTAACCGCGCGACATGCCCCGCTTGTCAACCTCAACTCGATCGAACCCCTACAAGCCCGTGACCCTCAACCCTGCAGACCGAAACCCTAACCGCTGAGCCCCAAAATCCTATACTCTCAAAAGCCGAAACCCTAAACTTCTGAAGCCCTCGTTAGAACCGAGCCCAGGGGTGTAATACGAGACAAACCACGGGGCCCCAAGGAACAATATCGGTAACATACCCGAAGACCCTAAATCCCTGAAGCCCTCCTTGCAAGAAACCCTTACGGAACCCTTACAAAATCTCTTAAAGAACCCATACTTCACCACTCATGGGCCCAATATCGAAGCCTGTTTCTTTGTCGTTCGGTTCCTTAAAGTGCCTGATGATACTCTTATATATCCAAAACCTTATTCGACTTATTACGGTGTCTGTATTACTTATCCGCTTTGCGGCTTGCTCCGAAACTACCCTAAAATCCTCAATCCCTCAACCCTGAACCCCTAAACCCTAAACCCCAAAATCCTAAACCCTAAAATCCTAAATCCTAAGCCCCAAACCCGAAAATCCTAAACCCCATATTGCAACCCCCTCACCGGCATACCCCACCAAGCTGCTAAAGGGCATGGTCCGTGCGTCGATGACGGCGCCGGCAGGGGTCGCTCGGCCTCCAACTGGGAGCTTCTTGGGGTCCATGTACCCAAATAGGGTTCCTTTAAGGGTTCCTTCGGGTTTAGGGTTTGGGGTTTTGGGGTTTCGGGGCTTACAAGGGGTTTAGGGTTTAGGGTTGAGGCTTTGGGGTTTAGGGTTTGGGGTTCGGGTCTTTAGGGTTTTAGGGGGGGGGCGTCGTGGGCTTCGTGTATGAAGCTTTAGGGTTTGGAAAGGGCTTGGAAGCCAGAAAGTAGGGTTCATTATGCTTTATGAGTTTTGCAGGATTGGGGTTTTGGGTGTAGAAGCCCTAAAGTTGAAACAAATTGTTCTAAGGTTGTAGAGGGTTTAGGTTTTATTTTGGATTCCTGGTCAGAGACCCAGAATTGGGGTTCACACGGTTGTTTCTCATGGTTTGGGATATGGGGTCTCGGGGTCACTGGTTTGATATTGTTTGAGGCTGATTTAGAAGCCCTCAAACCCGAAAAGACTGTTGGGTTTAGAGTTTAGAGGTTTTGTTGTGCGCTGATCGTTGACGATTTAGGGCTCTGGCTTTAGAGTTTAGAGATACGGTTGATGATATAAATCCTGCATTGCCCATAATAAGGAATATACCATAATTCCCATAGTTTGGGGTCCTTAAGGCAATGCAGGATTTATATCATCCACCGTATTGGCTTGGGGTTCTGAGTTCAGAAATGGAATCCTGAGGGCTCCCCGGCTGCGTCAGGTGGTAGACTACTACTACGACTACGACTACGACTACGACTACGACTACTACCACTACTACTACTACTGCTGCTACTACTACTACTACCACTACTACTACTACTACTACTACTACTACTACTACTACTACTACTACTACTACTACTACTACTACTACTACTACTACTACTGCCACTGCTTCTATTACAAAACAACCCGATGGTTTCTCAGTGCCAGGACAACCCAAGGGGCCTTTAGTGGAGCGCTTATGGTCCCTAATCCTGGGTATTTGGAGTATAATAGAGGGTAGTTGGTGTGTCTAGGTGGTATCTTGCGGCGGTTGTGGGTGCTTAAGAAAACCTGATAACCCCTTTTTCCGGGAACATGTCCTAGCTTGTCCTATAGATTTCAGAATATGTGGCTTTCAACTGGTGGGCCTTGCAGTCCACGTGTTTATATACTCCCAAACCGCTCAAACCCTGAACCCAAAAGCGGTCTGGCTGAAACACGACAAGTTCGTACATAGCTCTTTGTCACTAGAATCAACACCATCGTCATCATAGCCATCACAACCATGATCATCAAAATTCGCTCCATTGTCATCAACTGTTTTAGCAACAGCAGTCGGCAACAGCATCATGGATCATATCAGGTCCCCACATGAAGCACGGCTGAACCGGGAATCGGTGGGACACTGCCCGTTCTTGGGGTTTAGGAGTTTAGGGTTTAGGCTTTAGGGGTTTAGATTTTACAGGGATGGTTGACAGCCCTTGATTGGCAGGCTACGGGGCAACACAGCCCGCTCGGAAGCCAAGTTGCGGATGATGGAATGATGGGTTGGACGCAGCTCGCAGACAATAGCTCGGATGTAGAGAGACACGGCGTTTCAGATCGAAGGATATTGGGGGTGCGACAGCTAGGAATCGACTCCGACCGGTTTAGAGTTCAGGGTTTAGGCCTGCCTATGCCTGCCTGATCGTTCAACTATTGTTCAATTACCCTTGGTCGCCTTTTCTTCGCTATCCCTAAGCCCCAAAAGCCTGGCGGCCTTGGCCCTAAAGCATCAAGTCGCAACTGCGACCCTAAAAGTTAACCGGTGAGACTCTACCTTAGGGGTCCCTATTACATGTATATAAGTATGTTACACCTCAGGTCGCTATAACTCTGCTCATGAAAGCCGCTGAATGGGACGAAGCCTCCCATTTAGAGGCCCTCGCCTATAGAGCCCTCAAACCCTCAAACCACGAAGCCCAGAAAGCCTGGACACTAAACCCCTAATGTAGAGGCCTGAATAATGAGAACAGGGTTTGGGGGTTCCTTCTCATAATTATAGTATCATATGCCCCCAAACCCTATTCTGATTATGGAGGCCCCTACCTTATCAACCATAAACCTCTTAAGTCCTAAACCCTAAACCCCACCACTCCAGGCCTTCGCCTCCTCCACAAATGGCGCCCCCGGTTCCGCCGGAAATGAAGATCCTGAGACATCCCCTACCAAGGCAAGTCTTGCTTAGGGATTAGGGCTTTCTAAGTAGTGAGTAAGTAGACATACTAGTACCCTAAAAGGGATCCACTGTGGGATATGATAAGGTTGCGGGGATTTGGGGTTTAGGCTAGGTTTGGGGTTTCATCTCAAGGGTTAGGGTAGAGGGTTTAGGGCTCAGGCTACTTTGAGGGGCTAAGGGTTTGAGCTAGGGTTCAGGCTTCAGGGCCAGCAGGGTCTGGGCTAGGCTCAGGGTTTGGGATTCAGAAGTTTCGGATTGACATGCCAGGCTACAGCATAAGCTCTGTCAGGGTGTGGGCTAAGATCACTAGTGCAGGACTAGCCTGTTTTCTCACCCCGAAACGAAATACAACCCGCTTACCACTGCGCTTGGCCCTCTACGTGTGGATCTAAACTTGCCTTACTGTGGAGAGAAATCCTATCGTGTCTCTTATGATGTCCGGGTCTTCGTGACAGAACTGTACATGTCAGTCACGACAGGTCATCAGGAATCTGACCGAGGTCCGTACAACCCATGGTAAGTTTTTGGCTCTGGGAAAGTTTGAGATTTATTTCTCGAGGTCGCTATTCGTCACAAGGGCCGAGTCGCGTGCCTGAACCCAGAGCCTGCCACCAAATTCATCCCACGCCCAAAGCTCCCAAGGGTCCTAAGTACCTATGCGGGGGATACTGTAATTCCTACTACAGACCTTATTTTGTACTGTACGTACTTAGGACCCTTTGGGTAAACCCTAAACCCCAAGCCCTTCTAGTAGCCCGTAAAGGAACCCTTATAATCATAGTAACCCTCAAAAGTACCTAGGTCAGGCCCCAAAAGATAAGCTTGCAGGCAGGCTCCACCACCGAGCTCAGAGAGGGGGCCTCAGATTGATCTCTCGGGTTTTGTGACAACCGGAACTCAAAAGGAGCTCCTTTCCTTTTCCGTTACGGACTTAGCCTTTGGCTTGTAGGATTTAATCAAAATCCCTGCTTGTTAAGGTTCAGGATACTAGACCCCCCAACTCCTGGAGCCCTTTGGAAGGAGGCCTTGAAGAAACCCTTACATGCGCCCCTACAGGAGCCCTCAAAGGAAGCAGGGCCTTGCAGGAACCCTTAAGGACCCAAAGTTTACTCCCTAGTGCTTAGAGGGATAGGGGGGAATGGATCCCTATATAGTAGTCCCGATATAGTCCCAACAATAGTTCCCATAATCCATTCCCCCATTCTCTACTAAAGACCAAAAGTCTAAGGCCACCTCCTTTGCACAGCCCACCGGCCCTCCCACGGCAGTGGCAGAACGACTTAGAGCTGGACGCGCAGGCGGGCATTGGGGTACTGTAGCCAGCATCTAGCAACATACTATTCCTTCGGGCTCCGCAATGAAACTCTACTACTGGGCAACTAGCAGCACTATTCCTTGGGCTACGTAATAGGAGTGTATAGTAGAACATACGTAACTTCTCTCCACAACCACTCTTCTTATAGTTGCTAAGGCCCTCATACTAAACGCTTACTGCACGCTTACAGAGCCCCTGAGCATCCTTCAAAGGAAGCCAAAAGCCGAATTGAAACGATTCAGGCTCCTATAGACCCCTTAACCCCTAAACCTCCAGATCCTTGCCCTGAACCTCTAAACCCTAAACCCCTAAACTCCTAAACCTTGAACCCATGCTACAACGGGGAATGAGGGATCCGGGCCAGCTTCCAGCCAGCTTCCTGAAACGGCTGTGGTTGAGTCTCAATACATGGTAGTCTTTTTCGACCACTATATCTGCAGAATACAAGAGAGACATTTGAGGGTGTGTGTGTGTGTGTGTCACATATACCCATACACTGCATCCTACCATAATGTTTCGGTGTTTAGAGGGATAGTTAGTACTTAAGGCTTCTAGAACACGACTTGTTTCTGGCGTGTGTAAGATGCTCCCTTAACCTTGTAGCCTGGCGGTATTCGTGAATGCGCCAAGAACGCCATGGTGACGAGCTCTTTGGGTGATCCAAGCAGGACCATAACTTAAAAGCTCCTAATATCCTTTGAGTCTTATATCCTCAACTCTCGAACCTATGAACCCTGAACTCTAAACCCTGAGCCCTATATACCCACCACGGATACTATCCACGATGCATTCGATCCACCAGGCTCCTGTCATTGGAGTTGGTGCCTTCGCACAGGTCTTGCGAGCCAAGGCCCGCAGTGCCATGTGATACGGTTGATGATATATATCCTGCATTACCCATAATGTGGAATATATCATTATTCCCATGGTTTAGTGTCCTTAAGGTAATGCAGGATTTGTATCATCAACCGTAGAAGGTTCTAGGGTTCAGGGGAAGACCTCCAGATGCCTTATAAGGGTTCCTCATGATACGGTTTCTGAGTAGGAATTTATGGTGCGTCACGCTTCATTTCCGTCGTTCCTTTCCCGATCCCTACGAGACGTCGGGCAATAACATCCTCAGGAGCTTTGGACAACAGCTTTGCTGTCTGTGGCTAGTTTAGATCAAGCCTGCAGTCTAAGAGTAAGCTGGGGTGGTTTTTCCCCTGTTTGCATTTGTCTTCAAACCTTTATTGCGGTCCTGGTAGACATTGACCCTCGCCAGAAGCTGAAACTCGACCCTATACCGAAATGGGAACCATCGGCAGTACATGCCGTCGTAGCTGTTCGTTTGACTCTATGGAAGACTCAGGTGGGTGGTTGTCAAAATTATGGTCCCTTTTTGGGTACCTTAAATATTAGGTGCCGTATTAAGATAGGGACCCAAAAAGGGACCATAATTTCGACAACCACCCAGGTTCAGATTTCGAAGGTCCTGACACACCTCATGACGAGTACCACTACCAGAGTTTCTACGATAGTAGTGACAAACTCCCGAACAGTTGAACACAGCGTCTGTAGTGAACACAAACCATAACCGTCTTTGCAATCGTAGTAGCAGTAGTTGTGGTGGCCGGGTCTCTGCCGCTCAGCAGTGCTGTCCTTGACAGAATTCAGGAAGGGGGATAACGATCAATGATCTGCTTATCCCATGACGTCAATATGAAGCTCAAACCGTCTACAAACTTCTGAAGTTCAGGAAGCCACAGAAAAAGAAAAACAAAGAAACCATAAAGTCTGGGTTCTGAGTTATAGGATTCGCTAACAGGGCCTTTGGTTTGAGAGCCCCTTACCTTAAGGACGAAATGAACCCTCAAAGGGTTTAAGGTTCATATACCATATAGGGATTCATAGTATATGGGAATAGGGCCCTACACTTTTAAGGGTCATTTGGTCCTTCAGGTAAACCCTGAGCCTCCCCAGGATCGGAGCTCTGGGCAAATCTGGGCCTTGCGCTGAGTGCCGATGTCCCATCCTGCGGTATGAACCCAGAGACTCCAATCTCCCTTAATTGAGGAATATACCTTAAATTATAGTAAGATCCCTAATATGATTTAAGGTAAATTCCTTAATTAAGGGATATTGGAGTCTCTGGGAACAGCCGCATACATGCAACGCGCCCACTGCTCCTCCTGCTACTGCTCCTACAAGTATTACCACCAACAGCACCACCATCTCTAGAGCCAGTACTAGTACAAATAATTCGTCGTCGTCTTCCTTGTTGTGGTTGTGGGGGAGGGGAGGAGGAGGCGCACGACGAGTAGCAGCAACTGCAAGAGCAATGCTCACACCCTGTGAGCAATGCTCATACTCTGTCTCCTTCCAGTGTTGTCAACATCACCGGCAGCAGCACCACCACATCTACTTCTGTTTTGCATTCCTCACAGACAACGAACACGATCATCGCAAGCCAGGGCATCAAACCCGTAAACCCCCTAAACCTCCCAAACCCCAAGAGCACGCGAAAACCTTAAACCCCTAAACCCCCTAAACCCCAAGACCCCCCGGAGCCCTAACCCCCCAAGCCGAGGCCATCAAAAAACCCTAAACCCCCGAAACCCTTTATATAAATCCTAAACCCCCTAAATCCCTTAAATCCCAAGAGCCCCTTGAAACCCCTTAAATCCTAAACCCCCTAAATCCCTTAAACCCCAAGAGCCCCCCGAAAAGCGCCGAGGCCATCAAGGTATTGAGCAGACCGGCTTTTGCATGTCGAGGAATCGAGGGCCAGATCTGCTAGGTGCTCAGAGCTGCCTTCGTGGATACCGGGAATTCTATGATTCCCTGGCCACCCTAAAGGGGGGATGAGCCAAGCATATGGGCGATAGGATTTGAAGATATAAGTGTAGTTGGGGGGCACCGGGAATTCTATGATTTTAGGGGGGCTTATGAAGGATGTAGGCCACGGTTTAGGGTTAAGGGTTTATAGGATCAGGGAATCTGCTGCTCATGGCTTCGGACTGTAGATGCAAGGCTTATGGTTTTAGAGATTTGTACGTTATGGCAGCTCGGGTTTTGAGGTTTCAATACAAGGGCTCGGGGGGTGACGGATTTAGGTCATAGTGGTATAGAGCCTCAACTTGTATGGTTTAGCGGTCGGGGCAGTTTGAAAAGTTGCGGTCGTGATTGAAGGCTTTGAAAAACTGGCAAGCTTGTCGAAGCTTCCGTGTTGGTGCTGGTGGCATTGGTGTTGGAGGTGGTGGTCATGGTAGTCTTGTAGTTGTCGTCGTCGGAGTAGTTGTAGTCATGGTAGTGGTGGCAGTATACATATAACGATCGATAGTGATGATGTGCAAATATGAGTCTGGGCAGAAAGTTTGGAGGTGCACATGATGACGAGTGTCGACCGGTGCCTGTGCTGCTGATAGTGTTGTTCATGGCGATGGTTGCGGTTGATCTTCCAGCTACCTTTGCCCAACATGTCATGTCTCTGTAGCTGTTCCGATTAGGAGGTGCCACAACTTGGTTGGATATGATTTGTTTCATTGGCATTTACTTCTTTCGCAGTTTTATTAATTTGCTGGCATTCCTCAGTTCGCAGGAACGGCCTACCCTTGCGCAACCTCAAACCACTGCAGCAGGAGGTTAGCCTTCCTTACAGTCGCGACATTTTCTTGTAGGTGGCTGCTCCACGAAAACCAGTAGACTAGACTCAGGTTTCTTCTTGCCACATTCAAGTTCCCTCGAACTATACACTTAGCCTTTAGAGTCAGAGTACCCCTTGTCAAAAGGATCCCATTACAGGAACCCCAAAATCCCTACTCTAATTACTATTTGTAACATTGCTATTATTATCATTATTATTATACATTATTATTAGTGTTATATATTATGAAAATTGGTATTATTGTTATGAAATGTATTAAAGCCCCTACATTTGCTAGTCTCCCAGGGAATGAGCTCTCTGCCCTGCGCCGCTGTGCCGAGGCGCGGGGGAGTTGCGAAAAGTGTTTGAAAAGAGAAACAGGGGTTCTTATAGGGTGTCTAGTGTTCTATAGGGGTTTAGGGTAATAATAGGGAAAGAGAAGTAGGAGTTCTATAGGGTTTAGGGTTCTATAAGGTTCAGGATTCTAGGGTTTAAGGGGATTCTATAGAGTTTACGGTTTTGTAAGGGGTTGTTTGAGAGTTTCAAAACGGCTTCTACGGGGTGTCGGCTTCAATGAGGGTTCTCAGGACTGTTCTGTATCATCGGAATATGTTGGTGGTCGTCATCTTCAGGACCACAGGCAAAATCTAGCCCGACAAGGGCGGCTAGGGAAAGCCAGAGACAGCTACAAGACACTAGAGAAAGCTAGCGAGGCTAGATGCTTCCTTTGCGCATGCGCTGGTCATCTTGGTGCTGGAAAGAATGGAAAGGTGCATCCGGAAGCACAGCAGAGCCCGCAACTGCCGGGTTTCTAGCCATGAAATTAGGCAAGTTCAGGCCAATCCTAGACCCCTAAACCCCGAAACCCCAAAACCCTAAACGCCTTGAACCCTCAACCGGCCAGGGTGAAGTTGCTCGGGATAGCAACGACTTCCTAAGACTCTACGAATCACTTTCCTCGATTGGGCGCTTCTGTGCTTCAGGGACGAGCTGCGTTTTATGCAGCGTCGAATACATAAGGCGGCCAGATCCTATGAATCCTAACATATTGCTATAAACCGTATAAACCCTAAACCCTATAAAGCCTATTCTCCTATTGAGCGTGAGGAGCCCCAGGGTCGAGGCCGACGTGTTGTGCAGCTCCTGGATGCGGTACCGGGCCCAGAAAGAAGCAGAGAACCTGGGAGAGTAGGGTTCCTAAAGAGTTCTTAAAACGGGTCCTATAAGGGTTACTGTGAGGCGTAGTATAGGGGTGTGTTACAGGGGCTTAAAGAATTACCTCTAATATTTCGAGGGTCCTTATTATAATTATAATTATAGAACTTGCAGTGGTTTCTATCGTGGCTTTATAAGAGCTTCCATATTAAGACGGTTTCTATATAAGACGTGATAATCGGTTCAATAACGGCTTGAAAAACGGGCTGATAATGATCTATAAGGGTTTCGGAAATGGCTTGTCTTTCAGCGGTTCTATGACGTTTGTACGGGGCACTACAAGGGTTTCCAGAATGGGTTCTATAACTCACAGAATGGGTTCTGCGAGGGGGTTGATTTGTAAGGGGCTACAGCGTCTTCTGCATAGTCCAGAGCAACAAACGCCGTAGAATTTGCGCATTTAGGGTTAAACATACACAACAAGCCTACTCACCGGAGAAGCTGTGTAAATATGAATTGGTAGACTATGTGCAAATGTATCGCAATTAAGCGGTTAATTATGCTTACATGTGCATCTACATAGTTTTGTCGACCTATCATTTCTATCAACCTTGACATGCAATATGTACATTACCGTAGGGCTCCAATCAACTAAATACCGGGTTACCCAGCCTTCTCAAACATCGAGGAAGGGAGCTCTTCGGACATGTCTTAGGGTTTATAGGGTTTCCAAGTTTCAGGTTTAGGGCTTATAATAGGGTTTAGGGTGGGTTTAGGGGACGATGTTTCGTGGCAATGTACGCCTCCTCCGCGGCGGCGGCCAGTCGGACTTAGTACACGCAGAGCACTCTGAACCCTCGATCAGCCCTCAACCCTAAAAGTGTAAGCCTTAAAATGAACCTAAACCCTACGTAAATCCACAAAGCCTATACACCGCATAACAGCTGCACAAGCCCTTTAATTATACACACTCTATGAGCGTACAACCCTACCTATACCCTATAAACCCTTAGGTCGAGGAGAGCGGCATGGTATACCTCAGGCTCGAAGCCTCAGTGCGGAATTTCAACATGGTGGAGCTGAAGTTCGGGCTTTAGCTCAGGCTTTAGGGTTTGATTTAGGTTTACGGTTTAGCGCTGCGAAGATGAGGGACTACGGTTGATGATATAAATCCTGCGTTACCTAAGGACCCTAAACTATGGGAATTATGGTATATTGCTTACTATGGGTAATGCAGGATTTCTACCATCAACCGTACTTCGGATAGTGTCGGAGGCCAGGGTGCCCAGGATAGGACTTTGAGTCTTAGGTGCTGCAGACTGAAGACTCCTTGCCTGCGGTTCTTCGGCCGAACTATAGGGGCCAAGATTATTCCTTCTTCTTATGTATGACTACAGCACGCCCTGTTCTAATTATCCAGACCCCTAATATCATATCAGGTGTAGAGGTACCAGCGCACACACGCGAGGAACGAGTGCATTACCTCAAGCCTCGTTCAGACAGACACTTTACCCAAGTTGCTCATCTCCTGCACCCTTGAGACTGAAACCCCACAAGCCGCCGAGTCCTAAACCCTCCCACCAGGGATCATACCCTGAAAAGACAAATCCCAGCCCCAAAGCACACCCACCCAGAAACCTGAGTCCTTGAGCCCCATCCTATCCCCAGAAACCCAGAGTCGATTTGGCATCATGAACGAGCAGCGACAAATCGGTTTAGGGTTTGGTACCTGGGTTTGGAGTACCATACTTGAATACCTTTTTTGTTGGTGCCTGTTCCTTAAAGGAGCCGTTGTGAATTAAAAGTCTATACCTTTTTCTCCCTGGTTACTTCACAGTCCAGGGTTGCCATAATAGGGGTCTAGCAGTAGATTAGGGAACCTTTAACCTCTTTTGGGTCGTATAGCCCCTATATAATCCCTATATAACCAAAAAGGTTAACCTTTAGGGGGTAAAGGGTTCGGAAAGGCTGGCTTTATGCAGCTGCGACATCCAGCAAGTCTTGGATGCTCGCGGCCGGATCGAGGAGGCCACGGTAATACGGAATTGCGGAATTTAGCTGTTTAGGGTTTAGGGGTTTGGAAACCTGGGTAATTTGTCAGAATTCCACCGGGTTCCTCCCTGCAACTATATACAATGTAGTTACCCCCAAAACCCCATTCTGACTATTAATGCCGCTGCACGAGGGTCCAACCGGTACTGTTCGGGACGAAGGGTTTAAGATGTTATTGTTTTGGGGATCGTTGAGGTCTGGTGTTGAAGAGTTGGGGGTTTAGGGTTTGCCGGATGAGTACACGGGTTGGGATGGGATTCAGGTCTCGGAACCCTTAACCCTAAACCCTAAGCCTAAACCGTACTGGAATCTCACTCCACCGAGGTCTCTAGGAGCACAGAAAGAGCAGTCAAAAAAGTTGTGGAGAGCTTCATGATTAATCAATATAAACCCCAGTCAATACATACGTATTCCAATTGCCAAGACTCTGGTAATTATAAGGCATAAGACAGCTTCAGCACGCTTGAGAACAAGGATTGCTCGTAGTTAGTGCCGAACCTAAACCTTAAACCGTGCACGCAGGCGGAGACTTGCTACTATGCTGCACAACTTATGGCCGGCATCCAGGCAAAGGGTTGCTGGAAATGATTTGCTTTCGGGTTCAAGCGTTTAGGGCTTGTCTCCGTTGCTGTTGTTTCTGCTTCCTTGTACAACTACTCCGCTCTTGCTGCCGAAGGGGTGATGACTGATGATGATTTATACTGTGGTGGGAACAGTGAATATCATGGTCATGGTGATGGTGTTTTGGTGTCTGGTTAGATAGGAAGCAAGACAGACAAGGCCAGTAGCAAGAGTTCATATGCATGTAAGTGATGTTAGGGCAGGAGACAAGACTATGATCTTCTTTATGTGCCAGAGTGTAAGGCGTGGCATCTTTAGGGCAGCATCAGGGCATCAAAGTTTTACGGTTCAGGATTCGATATTATTTGTGGGTTTTAGGGTCACAAGCTTTAACTTCACTCGGCCGCGCATCATTGTCCAAACTCCATCCTGTTCGTCGCTGGCGCTTTCAGGACTACAACATTCTCATCCTGAATCTTCCGGTAGACGAGGTCCCACAACCCCACCATCCGGTCAACTAATTACATTAAATTAAACGCCCCAGACTCTAGACCCTTTGATACCTCGTGGCACCGGAGAATAGGAGCTCACAACAAAAGCAACCTGGGATGTCAGCAGTGAGTTGAAGCCGTCTGTCGACCGTTCGCGAACTGTGGGGATGACGAGCCATACAAAAAACATATATGTATATATATATATATATATATATATATAATTTTGGGCCCCAAAACCCAATTCCAATTTTTTGAGGCCTCTATATTATAGAACCCTACTATAGATCCCCCAGGCTTCACACCAAGGTTTGGGGTTCAAGCGAGTTGGTCAGACACACATGAATATGTAAGAACAAACTTCGTGGTGACACGTGGATGCACGGTGTTGCGAATGATTCCTCTTTGTCCACAGTCCAGAGTCCATTCAACTTTCGGCGACTTGGTATCACTCATAGCATGTGTATGGAGGGAGAACTTCGTCTAGGAGCATGTTCAGTTGTTTCTTTGATATGCAAGCCTTTGATTTCCGCAACAATGTTGCTTCCTCTCACACGTGAATTCGGCCAAGCGCTTGGACAGGATCTGCACTCCTTGAACATCCTTCATCGGGACCGGGCTTGCGAAGCGATGGCACCTTCTGCGCAAGCTGCATCAGTACTGTGAGCTCAGATTTGGGCATCAGCACATCCAGTTCCATCCGGGCACATATTTCATAAGCCTGAATATCTACTGGTGCTATTCCTTAGGGCTCCTTATTGATATCATAAGATAATCTACAAAAACCCACTGCAAAATCCTATTCTACCTATTCAGGCCCTGTCTTACGCGGAGATTTGAGCTTGGATCCTCCTCTTGCAGAGCCTCGTGGAATGCAGTTCCAACAAGTCTTTCCCTAAACTCCAAAGAGCCCGAACTAGGTACTGTTTATAGACTTCAGAACCCCAAGTAGGTACTTTTTCTAGACTTTAGACCCCAAAGCTGGCACTATTTGTATACTTGGAGTTCCAGGGTTTGGGACTGTACACTGCGCCACTGCCTGCGGTTGAATGCCGGGTTATCCTTATGATGATAGCAGCCTATTCACGGAGGATGCTTCGACACTACTGACCTACTCGTGGAAGCAAGCTTGCGTCTCAAGGCCTGCTTCCGAGACCATCTACATTTGCCGTGCTTCACAATCTAAACCTGTGTCAACGGTCAGGACATAAAGCCGTCGAACTTGCTCCTGGACGCGGGGGACTTGCGCATCACTGATTTTGGCGCGGGTCCCAGGGCTTGTGTTGTCAGGAATGCTCACAGTCACAACGTATGAACCAAGGTGATGCATACGTATTTGTATCTATGTATATAGTCTTGTATGTATTAATACATGCATGACTGTATGTTTATGTCTGCGAACTTGTGCACATGCATTGGTGTCTTTGCTAAGTCGCGCATGCCTTCAAACACACAGACAGGCGCGCGCACACGCACACACGCATATATATATATATATGTATTTATATTTATATTTATATTTATATTTATATTTATATTTATTTATTTATATATATATATATATATATATATACATATATATATAAATAAGTATATATATATATATATATATATATATATATATATGTTATATACACACACTGCAGTGTCGAGGCAGACCCTATACCCTAAGCATTCGAAATGTAAATCCTAAACCCTAAACCGTCACGTTTCAGGTTGGTGCTGCACACTCTCCGAGAACCCACGCTCTCTTGCAGGCTGCAGAGCACTTCCGTTGCTTAGAGGAGTGGTCGTTGCGTTCAGATTTTGAGTTTAGGGCTCAATCTCTCTGAGTTCAGAAGAGCTGGAACAATATTTGGCCTCAGTCTTCCTGCTGTTAACCGGCGTGAATTACTGCTACTTACTCGCAGCAGGCTTGAAGGCAGATAAGCCGCACGCATACAAAGGCGACAAGTCGAGAGCACAACTCACAGCAGTAAATGCAGAAGACTTTGCATCCAGAAATGCCTACATCCAGCAAGCTCGAAATCTCAGTATCCCGGAAAGCTCAAAACATCGTGCAACAGCCTAAGCCTTCGAACCGTGAACCCGACGGACCGTAAATCCGAATCTCTGCATCTCTAAACCCAAAGCCCAGAAGCCCTAAACCAGGAAAGCGAGACTATTTTGCATCTCCCGTCAGGGACCTTCCAGTACATGGCGCCAGAGGTTCTCAAACAGGAGCTACAGACAATGCCTCAGTCAGTCAGCCGCGGTCGCTTTTCTTTCATGGATGTATCCGCAGTCCTGTTTGTCATTGTTCCTTGATTCGAACCAAAATGGTTCCTACGGGCCCACTATACGGATGGATCTGCGAGTGGTTCATAGTCCACATGTACTGCCGTTCCTGGTCTGATGGTGTGAACATGGGCCAACGTGTCCACCATCCTTTCATCCCTGTTGCTGATGGGTTCACCTGCGATCCTCTGACCTGTTTTGTCGACAGAATATCCCCTAATTTTACCACTAAGGGGTCACGACCCACTGTTTCGTACGGTTTGGGGCTAGAGGCAGATCTTGCTAGGGGGGTTATGATATGCTGGCAGATGGTTGCCATAAGGGTTACTGAAACGCTGCCTGGGGGTTCCTTCTAAACGGGTTACCATACGGGTTCCTTTGAACGGGACCTGCAAGGGTTCGTTTGATTTTTGAGCTACTTCACATCATCTGTGCCACCACGGAAGACCTACCATGTTCCAAAACCGATCCAATGCGAACACGCCAGGACAGACAAGAGTTGATGAAGCCCGGAGGGTTGTACACCAGAGCTACCCTGCAAGCCTCACCGAGATAGCTACATTCACGGTTTAGGGTTCTCAAGTCTGAAGGAGTCGAATTTATAAGTTACGGTGTTAGGTAAAGGGCTAGGCGTTTGGGGTTCAGGGCCGGGAAATGAACTTGGCATGTGGACTTGTTGAAGCAGAACTTCGGACAACCACCACGAAATATTTAGCAAAAGTCATAAACTATGGCAGCCACAACATGCACCCTACCACCCAGATGATGTCTAAGGACCACTGCCGTGGACCTCTGGAGTGTGCTGCGCTAAGTTAAGTGCAGCCAAAGAGGATTTTCAACGAACTCCGTTTCTCATGCCCACAGGAATTACATCTGAACATACACCACTGAAGCGAATCCTCAGACCCTGAACCTCTACCCCTAAACTCTTAAGTAAGGCCTCGCTCTACAGCTTAAGCTGTGAACCCTATGTCGTCCTTCTCATTTCACGTAGGGAAGGGGCTTTTCGTTTAGTAGAAGTTTGGCGAGTGAGTCGGCTTCGTTTTAGGGCTCTTGGACCATGGCTGTTTACGGCCTCGTCTGCATTTTGCCTGGGATTTTGATGTTTTGAGGATGACTGTAGTCATAAAGTCTTCAGGCCCTATAGGGGCCCTGGGTGGCCGGCAGAGGAATGTTAGTAGGAGGTAAGATATGGGTGAGGCTGTACTTAGGTGTCCGCAGCCCTACTAGATCTGCATAGGCATACTCCCAAAGCCCGACGACTTTAAGTAGTACGTTGCGCGGCACTATCAGGATACCTCTTACCCACTTACCCAAACAGTCCTAGGTACTGTTATGGGGGATACAGACCTAAAGCACAATATTAACTCTTACTATAGAAACCCTGCATTCTACCACATACCCAGAGGCTCCAAAGTAGTTCCTTTTTCGGATTACCTAATAAGGTTCTATATACGAAACCCAAAAAGGAACTATTTTGGGGCCTTTGGGCAGATACTTGCACCCTTTGGGTTATTGCCCTAAACCCTAACCCCTAAACCCTAAACCCTAACCCCTAAACCCTAAACCCTAAACCCCTAAACCCTAAACCCTAAACCCTGAACCCTAAACCCTAAACCCTAAACCCTAAACCCCTAAACCCCTAAACCCCTAAACCCTAAACCTCTAGACTCTAAACCCTAACCCCCAAACCCTAACCCCTAACCCCTAAACCCTACACCCCTAAACCCTAAGTGTCGGTCGGCTTCCAGGCTGGCGTAACGCTCCTGCAGATCTTGACTGGCAGGCATTTAGTCTCCAGCCTGGAGCTCGGAGTGAAGGGGTTCTTAGGGGTACTTAGAAATATTTTTTTAATTTTTAACCGTTATAATCCCTTAGAAAAAGCTAAAATTGAAATTTTTCAAGGGTTCTAAGTTCAGTATAGGGTTGTTGAGGGTATAATTACCCTATGCCTCCAGGGACCTTATTATCGGGCTATGAGGTCCTTGGAGGGATAGGGTTAGGGTAGGGGATTGGGAAGGAAGTACAGTTTCTCTTGATGTTTTCATGTGCTCCACATGTTTAGCAACGACGTCGGGGCGCAGACAGCGAAAACGAGCCCAATTATTTCGCGTTGCCCCATTTAGACTTGCCCCGAACCCCAAGCCCTGAACCCTATTCCTGTGTCTTCGGCACATGCCCGTGAAGGGACGTTGAAAGTCGACAGCGCAAGACCAGAAATCGAAGCAGCTTTGGGTTGATGCGATTTCGCGTGTTTTGTGCTGCAACAGCATCAACAAAACAAGCATGATGCCATCAGCAGGAGCAAACACAGCCAAAGGCTTTGGTCCACTGTGTGGATCCGACGAATGCCGGCCTTTTACAAAGGCCGTTTGTGGAAGACGCATTCGGAGAACCCTCAACGCTAAACCCCAAAACTCTAGAGCCTTAAACCCCTAAACGCGGCTAAACCCTTGAACCCATGCATTCGAGAGGTCCGGGCAGCTCTGGGCTGAGCCACGTGGATCCGCAGAAGGGTACGGCCCTGAAGGTGCGACGCCCCGCCACGCTATCCGGTCTCCGCTGTTGTTTTTCACCAAGAGCTGGTGTTCTGCATGGGGGAACGTCGTTGGGTTCGTGGTGGCCTTTTTGTGGTGGTTCGGATTATAATAAAAGGCCCATTACAAGCTTTGTTCTGGGGGTGTCTGGGGATGGAGGGCTCGGGTGATACTCAGAGATCCCAATGTCCCTTAGTTAATGAAGGAATCTACCTTAAACTATAGGAGCCTTAATAATACTTGGTTTACCGTATCTTCCTTAATTCAGGGGGTGTTGGGATTGCTGGGTAGGCTGGTTCAGAACTGCGTCAGGCTTCTGTTCAAAGTGTGAACTGATGGAACGAAACTTCGATGTACTGTAACACAGGTGCCTCAGCAATCCCTAGGGATCTAAGGACTCATACATTAAGGTTTTTGGACCCAAAGACAATACTTTATAAGGCTGTTGGGCTATTTTGATCATAGGGAAGTGCAATGGGGTACAGCACACTATCAATGATGGAGTGACCTGAGGAAAAATCATGCAAGCATGTAAGCACCCATATAAAAGGGAGCTGTTGTGCCTAGGATTCGGGGGCTTTATCACAGCACACTTTGTCGTCCTAACTCCAAGATGTGCTTAAAGAGCTTAGGGTTCAGGGAGGTTTGGAATTTCGTTTGAGGGCTGTCTCCGCTTTTTTTCATGGTATGGATGGTTCAATAAGGCCCAAGACCGAGTGCCGGTAGAAGCCGTGTAGATCAGTTAAACTATCCGGCAAGGTCCGTGCAGATTTCGGCAATACCCATTCGTCTGTCTGTTTCCCAACCATTCCACTGTTTTGACAACGAAGTCGATCTGCAAAAAGCGCTTATCGGTTACGCCTCTTCTTGGCTGTTGTGCTTCGATGCAGAGTCCCATGCCACATGTGCCATGATTGTCAAATGCTAACTTTGCGTGGTGCAGAGTCGCATAGAAATCGCACATCATCGCTTCAAGATCCGCATTCTTATGAACTGGACATCTACTCAAGACGATGCACCTTGAGGCAAGGTCGCATTCTAAACACTTGCAAAAGGTTGTGACGGTAATTAGAGGTGGAGATCCTTTCAGCGAAGATAGGGCATCAGCCACTCGCCGCATCCTGTGTGGCAGCATGTCGCGGGGAGGCTGGTCGGAGCTGCGGGTTCGGGGCTTGAAGTTTAGGGGCTAGGTGTTAAGGTCTTAGGGTTGGCGGAAGACCACATAGCAGTTCTTCTTTGCGACAAGAATAGACTATAGTCTCCTTAGGAATTCTTTGTTTGTTCATATAAAACCCAACAGAACATTAAACACATTTATCTTGGTTCTAAGGGGGATATAGTATAGTCATAGTTTAGGTACGTCCCCCACTCAGTAATAGTTGATTACTATTCATAATATAGATATAGTAGGACCTTAATGGTAGCCCTATTCTAGACTCTTACTGTATGGGGGCCGTACCTAAGTCATAGTCATGGTGCCATGCGTTCTGTGTTCATCTAACGCGGCGGTCAGGTCAGAAGTCAGCTCTGGGTTGATTCAGACCTTCCAAAATCCCTTAATTAAGGAATATACCTTAAATTATACTAGGACCCCTAATAAGATTTAAGGTATATTCCTTAATTAAGGGATTTTGGAAGGTCTGGGGATCTGGAGTTTACGCCCGGTTTGTCGAGTGCTTTCCATATGGGAGTTTCCGAAAATTAGGGGTGCCTTTTTGCTGGGTTCCTTATGATAAGGATCCTACTATTTAGGGTACTATATTAGGGTCCCCTCTCTGCGGAAACTCCCATATGATTTATGACATGGCAAGCAATGACAATGAAAACGAATTGCATGCCACTAGGCGGTGACAGGTGAAATCAAATTATGCTGAAGCCCATATATCTGTGTATATATATATATATATATGCAGAAAATGTGTTCTCTATTTTATTGTATGTATACATAAACCAAATATACATGTCAAACACCTAAATCACCACAGACAAGTAGTCATAATCAGAATGCATTACAAGGGCAAGAGAATCAAGAGAAGGTATCATGATGTGACCTGAGCATGTTTTCATGCTGAGGCGGGCAATTAGTTTCTGAGCCGTGTTTGTTCGGTTTGCATTTGTGGAAGATGCGCAGCAACTTCCTGAAGGAGTGGATTCAGTGTAGTTGGTTTAGTTTACGGGTTAGGTTGTGCTTGTTCTTGCGTCATGCTCTCATTTTCCCAACCGTTTCGCACGGTCGGCAGCGGCGGTAGAGGTGGAGGCGAGGGGGTGCCCAAGTGAAGTGACAGTGGGGATTGGTTTTGTGACAGCGTTGATGATGTCGTCGTTCTTGTGTTCATTGTTGTTGATGGTTGCCCCTGTCCAAGTCGACGCACCGCTGATGGAAGAAAACAAGCCCTAACAGAGTCCTGAAGCCCAGAGGAGTTTTCGACATCGGCCCGTTTTCTCCGGGGGCGCTGCCACCAGCGAAACGCAAGGGCCCGTGTTAGCAGCTCACAGTTCTCGCCAGCGCTACTATGTCCATCGTCAGCATTATCGCTACGATTATCCTTGCCGCCGAAAGCAGCAGTACTGTACCACAGTTATTAAACAAGTCTACGACAAACGATCTTAGTCTAGCCGCCAGGCTGATGATGGAGGTGACTGCTTTGTGATTTTGTAGTGTTGGTACGGTTACACCCGTGGTCCGCGGGATGTCAGCATGGACCAAAGTCATAATGGATCAGAGCCAGGAGATGCCACTCGCTTTCTTTCAACTGTTCAGTTCCTACGCTCCGCGGATATGTACATACATACATACATGCATGCATGCATACATACTTACATACATACATACACACACGCTTTTTTGGTACATGGAGCCTTAAGGTGTTCACCCGTACTTTTTTAACTTTGGCATTCACCCTCTCGATACCGGGACACCCCGGAGCCTGTACTGAATTTGCCAACGAACGAAGCGCCAGCTGGAAATGTGCCTGCTCGGTTTAAAACCATCCAGCCATGAACTCGAGTGTCTCAACTATCCCCGAAGCTTGAACTGCGATCAAACAGTATAATGTTATATTCTGCTGTTTATACCATGTATGGCTGTATCATCTGTATACCTACCTATTTATCTACCTATCTATCTTTCTATCCGAAACATGCCCCTTCGGTCCTACGATATTGTGGACTCGTGATGTCTATACACATATCTGTATATCTAGAAATATAAGTATATATATATATATATATATATACATACCCGAATACATATGCTTCATGCTGGGAGAAGCAAGCGACCTAGGTGCCCGATTCGATGACGACAGGCCTTAGGGTGTTTGGGGTTTCGGGGAGCTCGTGCGGAAGCCATTTCTGCGAGTTGCACCATGACTCTTCGTGATGATACTTTTGCCTAGTGCCAGGTGACCCATGTTGCCCGCATCCGCAGTATCTATGGCTCCAGGGGTAGGCTGCAGCTGCTGGTCATGGCAGGTGACACACCTGAGCCTCCTGAGGGAAGGGGACCACACCGTGCTGCCTTGCCCACTATCCCTTATCCCGTAACTGGGTTCTTGTTCAGGAACTTAGTCTAAGGTATCATAATAAGGAAGCCAAATTATTTGCCATAGATTCCTACTATGGTAATTTGTTATTTCAAAGCATACTATTTACTATAGGCTCCTATTATGGTAACTTAATTCGAATCCCTTAACAAGAACCCAGGTAAGGGTGCAGCACGTCATCCGAAGGGTACTACAGGCGGCCTCTTCTGTGGAAGGGGCCGAGGTACGGGCCTTCGGCTCCTCTGTGAACGGCTTCGGTGACAGCTCCTCTGATGCTGGGCTCTTGTTGTGGCATATAATTTAAGTTACCATAATAGGGATCTAAAGTAAGTAGTACGGTTTCCTTATTATGGTACTTGAAATTACATCCCTTAACAAGAACCCAGGATGTGGATGTAGTGCTCTCTGCGAACAAGGCTTGTTTTGCAGAGGGCTTGGGCCTGGGGAGGGTGAGCAAGAAGGACCTGGAGCCACGTGTCCTCGGGAAGCTGCGTCAGGAGCTACGAAAACGGGGATTTACCATTAACCTCTTTATCCCACAAGCCAAAGTGCCCATCATCAAGTTGAGCTTGGAGCACGCCGGAGACTGCATTGACTGTGACCTTTCTGTCAACAACTTGCTGCCAGTCTTCAACACCAAGCGCCCCAGCGTCCAACATGGCAGTGCTTTGAAGCCTTTTGAGTTGGACGAAGCCATACTAAACCATACTTTGGGTACTGCCCCCACTCAGTATCAGTTGGATAATACTCATAATATAGATATATTAGGTCCTTAGTAGTAGGCCTGTTATAGACTGTATGGGGGGCAGTACCCAAACCATACTAAACTCTTTACAAGTATTCCCAGAGAGGAAGTGCCAGCCTCAGCTCTGACCCAGCTTGTTTCGCTGCTATGTCTAATGCCCGGCCTAAAACCCCGATTCAAAGGGGAAAAGGAGGGACCCTTAATGGGGACCCTACCCGATAATGGGTATATAATGGCTATATTAAGGGTATATACCTAGGGGTCCTTATTAGGGGTCCCTCCTTTTACCCCTGGACCGATACTCCCCTGGCCATAAACCTCCCGACCCAGAGCTCCGAAACCCTGAAGTCCCTAACCTTAAAACGTACTTGTAATATAGGGGCCTTAGTAATGACCTACACTATTTTGGTGGTTCCTTTTATAGTAGTATAATGGGCCCCCAAACCCTATTCTAGCTATTAAGGCCCCCATGTTAGCCCGTTTAAAGACTTCCAGTCAAGTCTTGAGCCTCTAAAGTCATAGGGACCCTCAGGGGGAGTAGGAGGGAGGGGGAGGGGGCCTTGAAGCCCATAATAAGGACATGCATAAGGAAGTATAGTCCCCTACCCCCCTCCCCCTACCCCGCCAAGGGTCTGTGTCTGAATTATCGGTAGTGTCCCTTCATAGTCTCGTTAAGATAAAAGCGTAATATGACATGTCCCACGACCCTACTCCACCTTTCAAGGTCCTGCTAAAATTGATTGAAACCATATAAGAACGTTGAAGGAACCCTTTAAAGGAACCCCCATTCTAAGTATTGAGGCCCTTACGCCCTAACACCCTAAACGCTGAAACCCTGAAGCTTAACGCCCTAAGCCCTACCCTACGGTTGATGATATAAACCCTGCATTACCTTGATGACCTTAAACTATGGAAATCACGGTATATTCCTTACTATGGTTGATGCAGGGTTTATGTCATCGACCGTAGTTAGTATTCGGCGCACCCTAGTTATGTGGGAGTTTCCGAAAATAGGGGACCGCAATATAGTACCCTAAATAGTAGGATCCTTATTATAAGGACCCCAAAATACGGTACCCGAATTTTCGGAAGCTTTAAACCCTAACCCCTGAACCCCTTATAGAACCCTTAATAGGAACCCTTAAAGGATCCCTTTAAAGGTACCCCCCGTTTCAGGCTCTTGAAATCCTATGCCGACTTCGACCTGCGGCTCGTGGAGATGGTGCAAACCTGCAAGGCTGCCGGCTCAACTTACCTTGGGTTAGTAGGGAATGGTTCCTCAAAGTAGGGAATAGGGCTCCTTTAAAGGGATCTTTTGGGGTTTAGGGTTCCTTTAAAGGGATCCTTACCTTTGGTTAGTAGGGAATGGTAGGGTTCCCTTATAAAGGGGTCTATAAGGGTTACTATAAGGGATCTCTGTAAGGGTACTAAAATATGGGGGCCTTAATCATCCTATAACTTACCTTTGGTTAGTAGGGAACAGGGCTCCTTTAAAGGGATCTTTTGGGGTTTAGGGTTCCTTTAAAGGGATCTTTGCCTTTGGTTTGTAGGGAATGGTAGGGTTCCTTTATAAAGGGGTCTATAAGGGCTACTATAAGGGATCTCTATAAGGGTACTATGATATAGGGGCCTTATTAATAATCCTATATCTTACCTTTGGCTAGTAGCGAATGGAAGAATTGTTAATAGTAGTTATATTTGTACCCCATTCCTCCATTCCTTACTAGCAAAAGGTAAATCAACGAAGCAATGAGGCTGTTCTGCAATACTTGGGATTCCAGGAAATTAGGGGTACCGTATTTAGCCGTATGTTTGGGTCCTTATACGAAGAAGGACCCTACTATTTAGGATACTACATTAGGGTCCCCTGGTTTCGGAAACTCCCACTTAGCAGCAGAGTAGGTAAATCTTAACGTTTTGGGGTCTATACAATCCTAGAAGGTGCACTTTTTTGGTCTCGGGTACCCAGCCTCTAAGCATGTGGGAGTTTTTGAATACGGGGCCCTTGTACAATCGAGCTTGCCAACGGTGGAAACCCCATCTCCTAAAACCCGATCCGTAAACCTCATCAATCCCTTGGCGCTAGCTTCAAGGTCCTACCCTTCCCTTTTGGAGGGTACCTAATTTCATGCTTCGGATCTGTTATTTAGCAGATTACCTACCCTAAAGGGTAGGGTAATGTAGGAACCTGATTAAGAACCCTGGGGCTTTCTTAGGGCTCTTTTTATGGAATCTACTATTTTAAGCTTATTGATCGAGGGTTTCTTGATCAGATTCCTACATTATTATAGTATTATAGTACCCTTATAGATCCCTTATAGTAGCCCTTATAGACCCCTTTAAAGGAACCCTAACAAAGGCCCAAACTCCCGACCGCAGGCCTCAAGAGGAGGTCCGAAGGCGCAGAGGGTCCCAAGATACTACAGCTACGATGATGATATACATCCTCGGGTTCCTTTAAAGCTGTCAGGGTACCTTTAAGGGGTTCCTTGAAGGGACCTATAGAGTTTTAGGGTTACGGTTTAGGGTTGATGATATACATCCTGCATTCCCTGATGAAAGGGCCCTAAACTTTAAACTATGGGAATTATGGCTTATTTCTTATTATGGGTAATGCAGCTTTATATCATCAGGCATATTATGAATTAGGCCCATAACAGCTTCCTAATCCTGGTTTTGGGGTGTCCTAGTTTAAATCCATCACAGTAGTATACACGGACCCTCTTGGAATTCATTGATATTATAAACCCCCGCAATCTACACTCATACTATACACTACCCGCAGAATCCTATTCCAGCCATCACAGGCCACGATGACTTCTGAACCCTCAATAGTTACACGAACCCTGTCCTGCGCTCTGTTTCTAAACCCTCAACCCCAGGCCCTTGACCCCTCCACTTTTAACCCGAAGACCCTAACAAGGCCCTAACACCCTAAACCCTGAACCCTAAACCTTCAACCCTAAGCCCTTAACCCTCAACGTTCAACCCTAAGCTCCAAACCCTGAGAGAAGGCCTGGGCCAGAGACGAGGGCGTGCATGGTGCAGACCGTGGAAACCTGTCATCCTATGCCTTCACGCCGCTCGGTGAGGTCGATGGGAAGTAAGTTTTACAGGGTTTAGGACCTTCAGGATTTACAGGGTTGAAGTTTAGAGTTCAGGGCTTAGGGTTTAGAGTTGGGTTTAAAGGGTTTAGCTTTAAAGCTTTAGTGTTCAGGGTTAAGGGTTTAGAGGGTTTAGGGCTTAGAGCTCCTTCCATAGTTACTGCGGCAGCAGGAGCAGTCACTAGGCCTTCAAGTCGGCGGGAGGCAGAGCTGGGCTTTTGAATTGAGCTGTTTACTTCATCCCTACACCCTACGCCCTAAGTATTCCAGATCTTGTGAAGCTATTTGTTGTTTCCAATGCTGTCCTCACTCTTCGCGGTTCCTTGTTTGTCCGCAGAGTTCGCAGAGTGCTGCAGCGGCAGCAGTCACAGGAGCTGGGGATGCCGATCTTTCCAATGAAGATTAAGCCCTAAATTTACTCATGGTAGTGTACAGTGACCCTTCAGCAGAACTCTGCTGAAATTTCGCTGAAGTGATTCCAGGTCTCCTCACATATTGCAGCCTCCCTGGAGCAGAAACCAAATGTGTTTAGCAGAGACATGTCTACAATTCGAGAATCCTTGCGGACGAAAGGAAGCCTAAGAGGGGCTGAGGTTCAAATACCCTAGCGGGAATCAGTATAAAGGTATAAGACCCCTACTCTCAACCTATCCCCTCAACCCTAACCCAAGGAACCCTAGACAATCGAAGCCGATGCCCTGGCTTCGAGGCTCATGGTTATTTTCTACATGCAAATGCGCGGGGTGCTGCCGTGCTTACAAAGAGAGGCGCTCTTGAACCCAGTGTGGTACTCTGAAGGTGGACAAAGGTACAATGTAGCCATGGAGGACTGGGCCGGCATAGTAAACAGCCTTAAACCCTAAAAACCGAAACCCTAACCCTGTACCGACCGCAGGTTGGAACTGATGTGCGAACAGTGGGTTTGGGTGCTCATTTTCTGCTGCATCTTGTCCAGCGAACCGAAACACCACGCTAAGCCCCTAGGCACCAGAACACCACCGCTGAACCTTTGAGTTCTAAATCCCTGAACCCAAACGCGCCCGGCAGACGTCACAGAAAGATGCCGATGCAGGATGACGGCGACTGCAGCCACCCTGGTGGTCCTGTTAGTTTCCCTGACTTTGCACGATTCTACCATGACGAGTTCGACTGGGGCGAGCGGGTCGTGTCTGTACGAACTGGAGAGAGTGCTCCTCCCGAGGTGCACCCGGGGTTTATTAATTACGTAAGGGGTACCACAATCAGGGCTCCGTTTGACAAGGGTTCGACTATTTTCGGTCTTTCGTTTGGGTTCTTTGTTTTCCGAATTTTGGTTGAACTTGCACTGATAAGCAAGCCGAATCCCCAAGCCATTTGTAGTTGCTATAAGTTCCACAGCCGTAAAGCTTTCATTAGCAGCTGTAAACGAGTTTGGGTGTGCCGGGAGTCGGGAGTGGGAAAGGACAAAAAACAATGCTACCGAATTGAGGCAGCCCTTGTCCATGTCCATAATACAAACAACACCCATACCGGTGCGATTGAACTCTTCAACTCCAAAACCCATGCCCTTCCACCCTAAACTGAGCTTTGGAGTACAATATGTTTCTTCTTCTTTCTGTAAGGAACCATTATGAAGTTAAGAGTTTACATTTTTTCTGCCCGGTTACTTAAAAGCCCAGTGAAACCCTTCAACCCTAAGCCCCTCAACCCAAAACTCTCACAGCATCTTCTTATGGCTCGAAGCCACAGATGGTCGTCAACGAAGGAAACCCCCAGTGTACCCTTATATAGGGTTGAAGGGATTTGAGTTCGAGGCTTAGGGATGAACGGCCTTAACCCTGCTGAAACCATCAGCGCGGCAGATTTTAAATCCAACGCTATGTGGGTCCTCTAACTTCCCCTATGCTTGCGGTCGTTTTTGCTGTCGACGGGCTTTTGCATTCCCAGGCCCCGAAGTACTTGAAGGCTCATGGGACTTAGTAAGTAAGGTTATAAGTAGGTCATAATTAGGACAACCCCAGTTAGGGGACTTATAACCCCAATTATAACCTACTTACTAAGTCCCATGATCCTCTAAGTATGAGCTCCGTGGAACCCAGAGGAGATGACTGGAAAACCCCCGACTGTCGGCAGGAGTACCCCGATCTGAAGATGAAGCCCAGAAGCGGCATCACTGATGAAGAGTGGGATTACTTCCTGCACATCGAGGACGCATCTGTGTTAGGGTTTAGGGTTTAGGGTGTTGTTGTCTTCATGTCCATGCCGGCATGTCTTTACGTACCGCTGCACATAGCAGTAAAGCTCGTGTGTGTTTCGAAGCCTCTGCTTGGTGACGATGATCATCTTCACTGCGACTGTTGCTGCCTCGACTGCATTTGCATACGGATAAGTGGTAGGACGTATAAACGCTAAGCCCATATAGCAGTACTATCAGCATAGTTCAGGGTTAAGCGTAGGGTTTGAGCTCTCAGCTCTTGACTCATTTTTTTGGGTTTTGGGCTTCAGAGTTTTGGGACTCGGGGCCTAAATTCGGAATTTTGGGTTTAGGGTTTAAGAATTCAAGCCTCGCCGGAGGTGCTCTGGAGCATCCTCGGGTTGCAGGTTGTAGGGTTTAGGGTGCAGGGTGTTCTGGATGTATTCGCGTTTAGTGACGCAAGTAAGTTTGAAAGCTCCGTTGTTGGCATCATGTCTGCTTCTAGCAACAGTCACGCGCGACGCTACATGTTTATTACAATGTCACCTAGAGAAAGGAGACGTTTCAGTTTGAGACAGAAGCCCTAACTTCAACCGCTACGCTTCCTACCACCCCGACTACCGAACCCTAAACCCTATAAACCCTAAACCCTATACATAAATCCCAAACCCTATAAACCCTATGCCAACAACCCTAAACCCCCAACCCTAAACCCTAAACCCCCAACCCTAAACCCCTAAACCCCTAAACCCTAAACCCCCAAACCCAAGAGTCTCAAAGCCACCTTCCAGGATCCCTTCGACACGCAGCGCAACTTGAATTGCGTCCTTGCTCCGGGCAGCAACTACCGACTGTGGGAGGTCTCTCCGGGATCATGGCCCAGTTGAGGGTTGAAGATGATCTTAGATAGTGCCCCCATTCTGCAACAGTTGGATAACATTTTTAGTGTAGGTGTACATAATTTATATATATATATATATGTATATATATATATATATATATATATATGCATATACATGCTCAACATATTCATATGTATGTATGTATGTATGTATGTATGTATATATATATATATATATATATACGTTAGTCATCGTTGATCTCCGCTCTACAGGAAAGTGGAACCATGCTATTCAAACATCCTGCTAGACGCTCTCATCCTGACTAGTTCTATGAAGCAAACACAACAGCAACAAAATCACCCCAATGCCTCCAGTTCTCGGCCCTTGATGTGAAGTCCTTTTACTACTCATGCAGGATATATCCGAACCCAGCATTGTTTCCGAACACCCCCTTTTTTGAACCCAAGTCGAAGTGGTTATTGGGAGGCTCTCGGCAGAGCAAAGCGGCAGCGTCGGTGGGTAGGGCGATCCGGGCCAAGGAAGGCAGGCTGACAGAGGCGTGGCCCCGGAAATTAAAGTTTGTTGGGCTTCGGGTTGAGCATGCAGGGTTTACCTGAACCTAAATAACCTACTTGTCAGGGTTCCTCGTTATGTTTCCTTATGGGTAATGTCCTTTATAGAAGTTGAAAAGATCGTTTTCTGAAGGGATGTTTACGTTGTTGTCAGACACCACCTAGGTAATCGGGCTACTAGGGTGAGCTGCAAAGTTTGCACTTCAGGACCTGATGTCGGCCGGCGCGGTTTCCAGAATGAGTGGCAGCTGGCAAGATTGACTTTGCTCCCAAGTCAAGCTCAAGGTGTTCCGGGTGTAGGTAGGACGTATGGGAACTATCGCGAACTCTTATTATGTATCTGTGTGGTGCCTAGAAGACCTAGAATCCTATATTATGTTCGAGTTCACAGTACGTGCGGCTCCATAGTAGTTCTGTTGAGGCTTCATATTTAAAATCCTATAAGGTACGTCCCGAAAGAAGCTATATACTACTATGGAGCCTATGTGCATAGCAGCTTCGACACTGACTGCGTGGCATCGGTTCTTACGGGCTGAACTCTTTCAGTTGCCTGAGGGTAATAAGGCAGCTCAACATCCGGAAACTGGATTGAATATGAGGGGTAACTATGGGTGCTTGATCCCTAACTAGACTGTGGCCAAACGAGAGTTTCATCTGCCAGGAACCAGACTTCCGGTGGATCAAACCGTTGATTGTCTGCCCTTCCCGGTCTCCAAACTTCCGCATGCCCCTCAATTTGTCCACTCAGCGGTTTCGAGTTTAGGATTTATCGCTTGGCCTCTCTGGTGTCGTGTCATCGATTCGACGGCATTCTTGTGAATTTGCTTCCCTGTCAGCACTATCTGTTGTACCTCGTCGCTTGCTTTGTATGATAAGCGGAACAATAGTAAAATTTAGAGCACATTCCATAATCAAGCGGTCTGGGAGTCTGCCGCTTCGGCTTTATTGTCCATATTATACATATTGGTCGGACTGCGAAAAAACGTGGCACTGGCAGCGACTGCAACTTACAGGGGCTTCACGTGGAGTGTTAAGTGTTTCATGGGGGCAAGCAAGAAGGGATCTGTCATGAACCACAAAAAACAGGGGCCGAAATAATTACCAATACCATTTCCGGGGGTTCCTCAGTGTTAGTATAGTATAATGGGCCCTAACACCCCATTCTAAGTGTTAAGGCACCTACAGTAAGATAAGCAGACAAAAGGGGCAAGGTTGATTGTGACCTTCGGGCACATGCCTGCAACAAGAGCGTTTGGCCGATGCCAGCCGCCTTCAACGCAAAAAATGCCTGCCGCGGTTTAGGGTTCCGGGTTTAGGATTCAGGCAGGATTTAGGGTTTAGAATTTAGGGTGTAGGGTTTAGGGTTATAGTTGCTTTTCTGATATCCCATGCCGGTGTGTTCGGGAACTGCTCACAACTAGCTATTGCCCGTGCGCTCGTGTTCAGTACCCTTCGCAGGCAAACTGGCTTATTGTTGTGATAGCCGTGGAGCACTGGAACTTGTAAAGCCCCTTCTAATTAAGCCCCTAAACCCTGAAGCCTAAACCGTAAGCTCTCAACCTTGGAACTCGAAGACAGTATGAAGGCTTCATAGAGTTCGGCTTCACCCCGTTTCTGTGTACCCTGAACCCCCTAAAACCCCAAAGCCCCAAGCCGTAAAACCCGAAAACCTGAAACCCTCAACCCCAAGGCCCGAAAACCTAAAGCCTCAAAGCCCTGAGCCGTAAACCCTAAGACCCATTAGTGGTGGGTCGGCTTACCAAACTTGAAAGGGCAGGGGACTTAGTAAGTAGGTTATCATTAGGGCTATAATTGGGATAATACCACGTAGGGTACTGACAACTTTACTTTAACCTCGCTATAACCTACTTACAAGTCCCCTGCCCCTCCAAGAACTCGTCCGTCCATGGGAGGTCGAAAGGTGGCAAGGGCGGCAAGTTCGGCAAAGGCACCGAATGGGTTTTCACGAAACATGCCTCACATGTGTTAGTATGTCATGTATACAGTGTATACGGTAACGTAGAGTACATGACATAACATGAAATAGTGTATTTAATAACAAAAAACATAACATAGATAAATATTTTATGACATAGTGTATTTAATAACCAAAACATAACATAGAGAATTATTTTTGTTTTATATGATGTACCGTATGATGAAGAGGACGTTCGGCTCCTGTCTCTGGTAGCAACGTCTCGCAAAGGCGCCAAAGGGGGCGGCAAACCCGGCAAAGGCAAATTTAGCGCCTCAGCTGACAAAATGGCAGCGACCTGGGGTTCACCCCAAGGGTCCAAACGGTTTAAGGTTTTGGGTTTAGGGTTTAGGGTTTAGGGACGGTTAAGGGTTTAGGGTTTAGGGTTTAGGGTTTAGGGTTGGCTGATGATATAAATCCTGCACTACCTTCAGGACCCGAAACTATGGGAATTATGCTATATTCCTTATTATGGGTAATGCAGGTTTTACATCATCAACCGAAGGACCCAATAATTAAGTACTCGGTTTTAGGATAGTAGTTATGTAGGTTAGGATTTTGGAGAGTATATGATTATTATTGTAGGTACTTGGACCCTTGGGGTTCAGGGTTTAGAGGTCTGGAAGATTTGGAGTTAGAGTTTATAAGTTTTAAAGGTCTAGAAGATTTAGTGTTGGAGGTTATAAAGGCTTGGGATATGTCGGGCCTCGGGCTTCCCGGTCTTAGGACATTGAGGGTTAAGGGTTCAGATTTACAAGGTAATGTCATCTAGCAGTAGCAATAGTAGCAGCAATCGGCAGTACTACGGTAGTTGTAGACTTGGGAAGAGCGATAGACAGTAACTGCTGTTTTCGAAGGATAACGCATTTGGTGCTAGTAATCACGGGACGTAGAACCGTACTGGTTGTGATCGCATATGGAGACATCAGAACCTTCCAGTAGTTGGCAGGTATGCGGGCAGGTATCTGCTTTGTACGGAGCTACAAAGATCCCGTCTCACATCCTTCGTTCTTCGTGGAGAATCCGGAGGTTTTCGTGGGCCAGTTAAGATGCGTCGAGCCCTCAACCCAAAATACCTTCGAGAAGAGATACAGATCAGGGCTTGTGCGGGCCATCGCCAACTCCAGTCTACAGATTTGTCGGGTTTAGGGCTTTGGTTCTTGAACTAGCTCAGCAACAACTGCTTGAACAGTCTACTCTGCTGTGCACATGTCTGTAGGGGGTACAAGCAATTTCTCCAGTGTGCCCTCAAGCCGAGGCTCAAAAACCCACATCGGACACCCCATCCCAATCACATTCCCTGAGAGCTGCATACAATACGACCCTCATACCCTGAACCCCAGCACCCAATGCCAGAACCCAAACCCTAAACTCGAATCCCTATAGACCAACCCCGAGAGTCATACGAATTATGACAATAACAAAAAGATGAAGAAATCTAAATTGTACATAAGCAATTATTGCTATTATTACTATTACTACTATTACTACTACTACTACTACTACTACTACTACTACTACTACTACTACTACTACTACTACTACTACTACTACTACTACTACTACTACTATTACTATTATTATTATTAGTATTATTTCTATTATTACTACTAAAGGCTCTCAAGCTCAGCACTTCCAAGGTGGAACCCCCGGGCCTCTCAGCGTTTTTCGCCCTGGTCCTCCCGCGGGCATGCCGAAGGGCGGCAAGGGATGGGCAAAGCCGGCGATTTTGCTGGGTTTTGGATTACAGGATTGAGGGTTTAGGATTTCGGGGTTAGGTTCTAGGGTGTAGGGTTTAGGATTTATCAAGGGTTTCCCTACGCGTGCTCCCTCTACTTTCGTGCTGCAAAGATTTGTGCATTCCACCTCGCGGTGCAAGGAGGAGTTGAGGCAGCACGGATGTATTCAAAACCAGGCAGCACGCACTTTTTTGACGAATGCTCCGAGATTTTGTGGTTTAGGGAAGTTTTGGCTTTATCTAAAGATACTGCATTCCACTTCAACGTTTTGTGCGCTACAGAGGCAGCACGCAAAAATCTTTGGAGCACGCAGTGCGAGGCAGCATGCGTAGGGAAACCGTTGAATTTAGGGGTATAGAGTTTAGGGTTTAGGATTTAGATTCTAGGTTTAGGAAGAGGAGATGTCTATAGTTTACAATTTTGGCACTTCAGAATCGCTGACAACCCTGCGGACTGCGTCGAAACCCTCTGTCTCAAACAGATTCTAAGCCCTCACTCACTTGCACACTCCCAAGTTTCAAAGCCTGATCCCTACACCTTAATTCCTAAACCCTATAAACCCTAAAGCTCTAAACCCCATAAACCCTATACACCCTAAACCCCATAACCCTAAAACCCTAAACCCTAACCCTGTAATCCTGAACCCTAAAAACCCCGAACCCCTGATCCCTATTCAACCCCGAAAGCCAGGATGCCCCGAGGCCAGAAAGACGGGAACGGTCGGTGAGCCCAGCATTACTGGGCTCTGGGTTTGGGTTTGGGGGTTTAGGGTTTGAGGTTTGGGGTTCAGGGCTCTGGGTCTAAGGTTTGCGGAGTTTAGGGTTTGGGGTTGTAGGGTTTTTGGCTGTTAGTCGCGAGCATAAAAAATGGTGTACACATAGTTTCTGCAAGCCTGCCTGTACCGATACCCATTTTTATAGACTTGACCGTAAGGGTCCATGTACCCAAATAGTGTCTACTTTGGGCGCAATGTACCAAGTATGGGGAGTACTTTAAGGCCACAATATAAACTATTTGGGTACATGTACCCTTAGGCTGAGCCTTATATAGCTTACGTATCCGTAAGCCAATGCCGTAGAATCCTTGCCTCGAATCTCTAGACCTTAAACAGCTGGCACGCTGAGATCCTAAACTGTCTACAGTAGAAGCCGAAAAGCTCGATCCTTAAGAGTAACGTATAGGGAATCCCAGCACTATTTGGCCTTAACCTGGTTTCCAACTTTATGGGGTCTAGTCTACACCCTGAAGTTTACGAGCTGTTGCTTG